TGGAAGTGAGCTGAGACCAAGTGTCTCTCACCACGTGTGTGGACCTGTAACCTACATGTGGGCGATCAGATGGTCCAGTATGGAACTTAGAACCTCAAGGAAGTAACATAAAGCTCCAAGTCAGTTTACAAATATTTTGAGTGGGATGTGGCATTCAAGAAACTAGTGTCACGGCAGGCAATGTTAGAGGCGGGTGGGTGGTTTTCAGTGGCAGCTGTTTAGTTGATGATTCTTGAGGAAGGACAGTTGAAGCCCCCTGCTTTCATGACTAAACCTGGCTCTGTCCCATCCTCTCCATTCTCTGAGCCATCCAACACTGTTCACTAAACTGCTTTACTTTTTAAGTGGGCTTTTATTGTTTTCGTCAAGAATTCTGAATAGCACATTTCAGTTACAAATGACTTTTATCTATTCCTATTAAATCAGATAGTTAACAGTTTAAAAATACTGGATTCATAAGAAAAATTTTATTTTAAAATATTTTATAACTAGAGTTTCTACCAATTTAGTCTGCCTTCTAACATTGTCAATTTTAACTCATGTGAAAAATGCTTTCCTGTTTTTCGAGGAGAGTATTACGACATTGTCTTAATTCTTCAGAATAGTTGAATAAGTTAGAAAAGTGATGTGTTTTATATTCGGGTCTTGACTGAAAATAGAAAGTTCTCATATCCATTCCACAGTATCTCCCAATACTCCACTTCCTCCCAACAAGAAAGTTTATAAAGTATTCAGTTTGTATTCAATTTATATTAGGACCATTTTCTTTAAAGATGAATCTTTAATTTTAAAAAAATTATCCTGCCAAGCACATACCTCAATTCAATTCTAAAGGATAATATCATGTACAAAAAGAAAAATGTCAGCTTTGAGTTAGCTATGTAGATTTAATACAATCAGATTTTTTGATCCATTTTACCAACATCAGAAACTGTGACAAATCAAGTTATTTTTCATGATCTTCAAGAAGACAGCTTTTGTTTAATGTGTTACCAGCGGCATAACCAAGCCTCTTTTCTTTTGCCTGAGTAAGTCTGACACTTTGGGACTAGTGTGAATATGCATGCTGAGGGCAGGAAAATCTTTCCTCCTCCTTTGAACTAAGATCCACGGTCAAAAGAGTGTTGTGGGTAAAAATTCAAGTTCAACTCCCACCTCTTCCAAACATATGTTTGTAAAAAATAAAATACTTCTTACATGTTAAAAAATAAAATTAAAAAAACAAAGATATTTTCTAAAACAAGATGAGCATTAGGGTGGACCTAACAGAGCAAACAAGAACACCAGGTAAGAGGGCAGAAACTATAGGCTGATTCGAAGTCAGGCACCAAAAACGGGAAAAAGAGGCCTGGAGAGTAAAGGAACTAAAACACACATTCACAATGAAGGTCTTGACCGAGATGTGGTGGGAAGAATGGGGCTGAGGGTGGGGTTCTTTGCCTGGGAAAAAGACTGAAAAATCTCTGCCGCTTCTTCCTTTTATACGGAGCCAGGTGCTTGAGATGGCAGGATGGAGAGACAGAAGATCTACTTCTCACTGGCTCAGTAACTAGATTTGCAGTTTCCTTCAAATCATGATGGGCCCTGGGGAATCTTGAAACCAGTAATGGCAAAGGCAAAACCCTCCAGATAGACAGAATGCAGAAGCAAAGAAAAATCAAAATAGAAAACCTCCCACTCAAGATGAGAAAGCAAACGAAAGTTCTGAACCCTAGACTAAGGAAACCAAATATTAAATAAACAAATGAACTCAATAATCAGGACAATTCACCTGTGCTGAAATGCAAATCTGAGAGTTACTGTTAAAAAGTATGTTTAAGATCAAAGAGAAGAAAAATGGAATTACTTTCCCCCAAAAGAAAAAATGAATAGTCAGATATGAAAAGAGTGGTTAACAAAAAAACCACTCACCAAGTAAGAAATTATAGAAATGAAAAATATAGATGTTGATGTATAATAGATATCAGCATGAAAAAAATATTGGTATACAAGATACCTAGACTAGGCCCAGTTCTATGAGAAAATTAGTGAACTGGAAAACAATTTTGAAGAATTCATTCAGACTGTAGCAGAGATTGATAAATGAGTGACAAACATGACAGAGAAATTGCAAGACAGGTGAGGTAAAATAGGAAGTTCCAACATTTATGTCTCAGGAATAAAAAGTGAAAAGAATGAGAGAGGATCAATACTTAAAATAACAACTGAAAAATTTCCATAACTGAGTATATCATGAATTCTCATACTGAAAGCATATTCTGAATTTTTAACAGGATAAACAAGACTACATCTTGTGTCTCAGAATCAGAAAGTGTTGGGCATAACACTGTGCCCAATAATCACTGAAACTTACAGCACAAGCATGACAATCTAATGACAATCTAAATGCTGTGTAGTGCAGCCATTCTTATGATGCTTGAACACTGGGAGACAATTACTCATGGGTCTCTCAAATTTCTGCCTGTCTTATATTAGCTTTTGTTCCAGACTATATTTTCAATAATGTTTGTATAGCAAACAGCCTTAGAAATTAAAAATACTGTCTCCCTCAAGGACAGATGGAAGTTTTATTTGGTGTCCAGGATGGTAAAGTAATGCTTCCTCCAAGGCAAAATTTGGGCAAGCATGCAAGCAGCCCCTTTAAAAGATTGTAGTTTCCCAAGTTCAGGGTTTCCCAGTTATGAGGCAAGCCAAGTGTGGACACAACATCCATCTATTCCACATTTCCCCTAGGACTGTAGCGGGCAAGGAGAACCAATGTGAACATAAACTCATGCTGTCAGCTTGGCAATGAGTAGTAAAGTCCTTTGTCTCTCATCCATGAATCTTGTGTCTTCTATTAGCATTCATGAAACTGTGGCAGGTCAAATTGTTAGCTTGCAAGTAGGGCAATATCTCAGATCCTTCACAGTTCTTGACATTGAACCTCCTACACAATGTGAATACACCTCAATTTCTGTTTATTTTGATTATTTGTTGTCTATTTTGGGAAGAATGAGGTTGCAGCAGATTATGAAACTACATTTACACAAAGATAAGAAGATGGGCATGATTATCTCCTCATTACAAACTACACATCTGCTTCTTTCTTTTTGTCACCTAATTCTTCCTCATTAAAGGTATATCAGGTCTGTCTCTGCAGCAAAGCTGTAAACTCAAACAGGCATGGTTTATTATCTCCCAAGATCATCCACAATCATTATTTCATTTACTCCTGTGAATTAAAGCTTGGGCTTTAAGATCAGAATCTGAATCCTTGCTAAGTCATTTATTTCCTGTGCAGCCTTGTGCAAGTTAATTAACCTCTGCCAACTTCAATTTTTTTCAGCTGTGAAAATGGGTTATCATAAAATATTTTCCTCAGATTTGTTGTAAAATCACATGAGATAACATAATAAAGTCCTAACATAAAATCTGGCACATAGCAGGCATTAAACAAATGGGAACTAAATGTGTACATTCACAACAGGAATTCAAATAAGTAATGTCCCATTCTCTTCTTCCAACTCCTTAAATAGTGATATGCTCCTGGGATGAAACAAATATGATTCTCAAGAATAAAGTGAAATTATAAATTTAACTTTAATAATTTTTTGATTTAATAGTACCATCTATAGGAATTTATCTTAAGAAAACAGTAAGAGATTAATGTACAACTCTGTTCATTACACAGTTACTTGATAGAGTAAAAAACAGTAACGGCCAGAAAGTATGGAATTATTTAAATTAATCATTAAATTGTCAGGCAAGGGAATGTTATCTAGCCATTAAAATTTTGTGTTAGAAGAATGTTTAATTCTATGGATATTCACTATTCAGTGAAAGTAGACAGTCTCTGGGACACATATAATACTATTACAATTTTGTTTTAAAAATGTTTAAAAATGTCTGGCTGGGCACAGTGGCTCATGCCTGTAATTTTAGCCTTTTGGGAAGCTGAGACAGGTGGATCACTTGAGCTCAGGAATTCAAGACCAGCCTGGGCAACATGGCAGAACCCCGTCTATACTAAAAATACAAAAATTAGCCAGGCATGGTGGTGCATACCTATAGTCCCAGCTACTTGGGGGGTCTGAAGAAAGAGGATCACTTGAACCCTGGAGGTTGAGGCTACAGTGATCAGAGATGGTGCCACTGCACTCCAGCCTGGGTGACAAAGTGAGACCCTGTCTCAAAAAAAAAAAAAAAAGTATACCCAAAAAGAAGATATTAAAAGGTTACAGATTAAAATGTTATACTTGATTAATTTTCCATTGTATATTTTTCTGTGACTTTTAAATTTCCTGAAATAAACTTATATACTGTTTAAAATCCCAATAGGATGTACAAAGATATTTAAAATGATCTTAAATATAATTTAACCAGGGAAAATGAACAAATAATAGTGCCAAAAGGTCTTTCAAGTTTTATGGTTTTTTAATCCCAAATCTAAGATATCTTACTTTATAGAAAAGCAGAAAATACAAGAAAACATATACCAACACAAAAATGATCTTTTGAAGTTTACATTCTTTGTTCTTAAAACCTGTTTAAAAAGTGCTGCCTGTCACGCCTGTAATGCCAGCACTTTGGGAGGCCAAGGCGGGCGGATCACAAGGTCAGGAGATCGAGACCATACTGGCTAACATAGTGAAACCCCGTTTCTACTAAAAATACAAAAAATTAGCCAGGTGTGGTGGCAGGGGCCTGTAGTCCCAGCTACTTGGGAGGCTGAGGCAGGAGAATCGCTTGAACCCAGAAGGTGGAGGTTGCGGTGAGCCGAGATCGTGCCTCTGTACTCCAGCCTGAGCGACAGAGTGAGACTCCGTTTCAAAAAAAATAAAAGTGTTGCCGGTAATTTTACTAATATTGAGATGCAATTCAACAGGTGACACATTCACTTTTCATGTAAGTCCCCATTACCTCCAAATTTTATTCAGCTTAAAAACTAATGTATTATTAAACTATTCAAAATCTTTCAATAATCTCTGGATTTTGGAATCAAGATATTATTTGATTACCTGGCCTTTTCTGTGCCTCCCATGCATTGATGGATGCCAATGAATTCCATTAATTGTTTTTGTAACATCACATCTTTGCCCTCAATTTGAGTAATGAATTTATGTTGTAAAAGATCTGACACTGTTGGACGCTTTTCATAATCTTTAGTCAAGCACCTGCACTGGCAAAAAAGAACATGCAATTGTTAGATAAGTTAGAGTTTTGAAACTATTATTCATATTCCTAAAAATTAATCTAACACACAAGAGTGATGCTCCTCACAAATGCTCAGCCCAAGCTTAAAATATATTAATTGCAATTTTTAATCTCTCAAAAATAGCAAACTGCAATGTGATGAAATGTTTGTGAAAGTGCACACATCTGTGAGTGATTAAGCTGCAGTGATACCAACTTTCAACTAAATACCACTTCTGTCCTTTCCCAGCAAGGATTATAGCATAGTGATAATTAAAATGTCTCCACTGCAAAGTCTCCTTTACAAGTCAGTAGCTGCAGATAAACGACAATGAAGTCATTATAGTTTAATGCTTATCTAAAAAATAAAACAAACAATGCAGTTTCCCTTCATAAATGCTTTTAAAGGCTTCTCAATTGATCTGTTTCTTTCTATGTGATAAAACTGGTAACCCAATTGAGAAGGCCACTCAGCTAAGGATGTTGAAATTCCATGTCAATAGGTATTTTTTGAGGTCATACAGCAGATGTACTAATGCATGTTGTACCTCTTGATAGGTTCAACCAGAGCATATTCTTGAGAAAGGACAGGGCTAGTGAGAGCACCTGAAACAACAGCACAGGAGGAGCATTTGAACAAATGTAGAATGTTTAACCAGCTGTGACAGCTGACTTTGAATATTTAAAAGAAGGACTCAAGTAGTTTTCAGTGGTCACAAGGGGTAAAAGACCCAGAATTGGCTGGTGGAATCAAGAGAGAAACAGCTTTCAGGTCAGTCTAAGGAAGAACTTTTCAAGAGTGAGGCTTATCAAAGTAGAATGAGCTGAACTGGGAAATATTATTTGGACTGGAGATATTTAAGTATTGATTGGGCAGCCACTGAGTGCACATGTTTGAGAAGGATTTAACCTCTGGATATAAACTTGGGCTGTACAACTTTCCAAGACCCCTTTAACCCTGCAATTCACAGAGTCTACAATTATGAGAAAATTGGGCTGTCATTTGGGGATATTAAAAAACAAGAAAAAAGCATAAAAAGATGAAACGCATGCCTTGGCTTGAGCAGCGCCATTTCTAATCGGTATTATAGTAATTAGGCAATTTATTTCATTGAGCTTAACCAAAAATATATTTCCCAGGAATGCTAAAATATGCTAAGGAATAAGAATGCCAATGTCTAAAAAATAAGAACAAGTGCTCTTAGTTTTCCTCTAGTTTAACAGAATGCATTAATTTCTGACATCTGTAGTAATTGTATGTATGTATTCAGAAGAGTCACATATGAAATTATTTTATTCATGTAAAACTTTATCAAATCGTTAATGTGTACTAGGCACTCTGCTAGACTCTGGAGTTACAGTGACATGTAAGGCACGTTCAGTGCCCTAGAGTTGCTTACTGTCTAGTTAAAGAGAAAGATGTCAAAACAGGTAAGCTAAATACAATTGGCAATGTTAATAGAGGAAGAGAAACCAAACCAATAGCAACCAGGACAGAATACTAACTGCTTGGCAGAAACCAGGAAATGTTTCTCAGAGGGGAAACTGCAAGAAATACATTAGACACTAAGTTCCATTGAGGATTTGTGTGGAAGCATCTACAGTTCCATAAGCAAAGGAGAAATATGATCCTTTTCAGACAAGCAAATGTGAAGGGAATTCATTACAACCAGGCCTGCCTTAGAACAGGTCCTGAAGGGAGTGCTAAATATGGAAAGCAAAGGCCATGACTGGCCACTACAAAAACACAGTTAGGTACATAGACCAGTGGCACCATAAGCAGCCACACAAACAAGTCTGCATAACAACCAGCTAACAACATGATGACAGGATCAAATCCACACATGCCAATACTAACATTGAATGTAAACAGGCTAAATGCCCCAATTAAAAGGCACAGACGATAAAGTTGGATAAAGAAGCGAAACCTAATAGTATGTTGAGACCCATCTCATATGAAATGACACTCATAGGCAAAACACAGGTGAACAGAAGAACATGTCCATTGATTATAAAGGGTCCACAGAAGCATAGCTATTGATAAGTGAATAAACATGACGCTAAGGCCATTATCTGAGCAATGATAAATTCGCCCAACATTTAAAAGACACTATAGGTGCTTCCTTTGAAGAAAATAATAGAAATCTCTGGGGCCATTTAACAGATAAGAAGAAATAGGAGGAGATTTAGTTATAGCAGGAGGGAATTTCTTTGGTTTTTTAAAACACTCTTTTTACTCACTTGCTTATGAAGTCATTGAATTCTGCTGACCATAGCTCAGGCTGCCTTAGTTTTGGGGGTGGATTCCTAGAAAAATAAGGATCAGTGTTGGATTCTGCGTATTGGTCAGTCAGTGCAAAATGAGATAGACTAATGCAATCACAGGTTCTGCCAGTTGTAATCAAGGATTCCATCTTTTTTCCAATTCTAAGACAGATAAATCATTACCTTTCTTTATACAAAAATGACACAATCTTTGTTTCTCTGAAAGCACTTAACATATGACCTGATTTTTCCAACTACTAATTTTTTTCTTTTAAAGAGTCTTCTTGCTTTTACCTAGCTCTAGGGGGAAACATCAATACTTAATAGAACAGAAACAATAGATGCAGGGGAAAAGGTTTCTTTTTCCTATGAGTCCCAGTGAAGTCTCTGAGGAACATCCAGGGAACACAGAAGTGGCCTGTTTGGAATATGAAGGAAAGCATGCCAGGGAGTGGCACAGCAGAATGCCCTTATGAGTTGTTCTGTTGTTACTGGACACACAGCAGGAAACATGTTACAAAGTGTTAAGGAACTGAAAAATATTATTAGCGATAAAGCTGTGAATACAGCTTTAACAATTTTATTAATTCCTTTCAGTTTAAACTGAACAAATATATTTTTTGGCACATTCGTTGAATACAAAGGAACATCACTTGAAAATGAGGCTGATCTAACTCTGCAATCAAGCAACATTGATCAACCATGATAGTCGAATTTGCTGAAGTGCTGCTTTATGTTAATTCTAACAGCTCTTTGTTTTCATTAGCGAAATGGAAATACTTTGTCTTCAGTTCTGCATTACTCCTTAAATAGCTTATAATGAAATTAATGTACAGTTTGTACAGGCTCATTAAAGAAAAGTGCAGCTACTCATCTACTCCAGATCACGACTAAGCTCATTTCACAATCCTGAGGACAATTTGAAGATTGCTGATTTGCACATTAAAAGAAGTAATTCTTTTCTGCAGAAATGTTGTTTTGTTTCTTGTCCTCCTGAAAATGTCCTTTTATGAGATTTATTGGCTTGTTTTGAATAACAAAGTGTGGATTATTTCAGAACACTCAGAACTGGGTAGCTTTTCAGATCCTCTTTTTCTCCATATTACCATAGTCAGTATTCTTGGAAGTCCACTGGTGGTAGACATAATTAAGAAATAACCAAGATGATGCAGTTCCTAGAATTACTTTGCACATTGCCTGTTACCTAAGTACAATATCTATCAACAGTGTCATCCTTCCTTCATGTGGCATTATCACCAAGAGTAATAACATCAGACTAAATATGATGGTTTAATCCACAATTAAAGCAGCTAAGGCAGTACACAACTTCACCTTACATACTGAATGACAATAGGAGTTAGAAACTACAGATTTTTTTCCTGCTTTCTTCAAAATTAATGAAATGTCTTGGATTTAGTATACAGAAGGTTTTCCATTATTTTCTGTAATGTTGTTTCTCCACTTACAAAATAAGCAGTATGTAAAGGATGATATATAGCCAAGGTATTATAATTTGGAACATATAGATAGGACAAGAAATTCAAAGGCAAAAATGAATTCAAACGTTTTGGTCTTATAATAATTTAGTTAGATGCCAAATATTCTAATGTTTCGGATCCCTGTCATCACAGGCTCTGGGTGTGCACTGCATTATAATTAAGGTAAAATCCTTAAAAATGTATTCAAAAATAACACCTTTAATAATTATAGGCAGTCTTTTCACATTAGTTATCTGAAACATCTAGGGACTAACCACCACTCATAGAAAATAGTATTTAAAGAAATTAGTTAATAGGATAGTAGGGGAAAATCTGTTGATACACACATGAAGGGGTGGGGGGTACATAAATAGTCAAGTGCTTTCATGGCACCAAAAGAAGTTATTCTTCTAAATTTATTGTTTTATATAAACATATTCAAAATATTAACATGTTTAAAATCATTATTTTCTGGATAAATTTTATATATAATTTTCTTAATAATATTATTTTAAAGTTCTGAACGAAGGGAAATCTTAGCAAGTAGTAAAATATTACTAGATTGGTAGGTAAAGCAAAGCAAAACACTTGCACAGGCTATGGACTCTGATGCCTCACTGACTCATTGAGGAATTGAAAAAGAGTGAGAGGAACCACTATTTTCTGAGATCAAATCCTAGCAAAAGAGAGAAAGACACACTGTATCAAGAGAAAGCTCTTTTACTTAGACCAGGGAAATGCAACTACTGAACAAATACAATGTCTCAGAAGAAGCAGAATAATATTCCAGGCTCTTCTGCTCCCAACTTGTTGGAATGTATCTGAACGTCTCCATGAAGAGCATAATGAACACTCAGTGGCTGGAGGAAGAAAAACAGGCTGCAGATACTGGACCCAATGTTAGTCATCTGACCTTGGTATTTTGAAGAGTGCTCTCATGGGATGCAGGTCAGCTAGTGGAGGATCTCCATCACCCAACTCAATGGCCGTTATACCCAGGGACCAAGTGTCACATCTGGCATCATAAGTGGTATCCAATTGCTGTTCACACGCAATCACCTAGTAGAAAACCACACCACCAAAAGGTGAACTTTGTGACCTTAACAAGCATGTAATAAAATACTTAGAACAAAGCATTAAGTATTTAAACTGGTGAAGTTTGACAGCTATAAGAAAAGACGAAGGCAGTAACTTAGGAGGAGAATAAAAGATTAAATTATTATTAGTAATAGTATTTTTGTTCTGGAAACAGATAATACCTTAGGAGGTTTACAAATATAAGGGAAGAAGTCTATGAAAAATATTTTTGAAAATATAGAACAAAAAGAGGAAAGAAATCATGTCCCAAATGGAAAGGGATGGGATCAAATGCACAACTAAAGTTTGCGCAGCGCTAGTCACTCAATAAATATCTATTGAGGGAATGAAAAGATGAGGGCTATGTTTTTGAAGAATTAAAAGTGGAGGAAATAAAGGTAAACATGCTTGAGGGCTGTCTAGTTAGATGGCCTTGATCTCTACTGGCAACTAGAAGGCAAGGCTACCTAAGGGAGGAATAAGACAAGTTTGGAGGAATGCAAAAGCTTTAAGCCACTAATAAAAGAAAACTGAATAAAAATAAACCTTGATGTAGTTTTACCAACAGCCTATCTGAGGCCACCCTAAATTGTAAAAACACGTCAGTAATCAAAAGATGTAATTGAGAGACAAGGAAAAAAGAGGAATTTGTTTTTGTAATATTATAAGATTGTATTATATAGAGAAATTATTGCACTGATTACTTCCCAATTTAGTTGTAAATGTTTAAGTACAAATGCAGATTGATTGTGAATGGTAATTATTAACATCAATAAACACAAAAAGGAAATTCAACTTTACATTCTAAGAATCATCTTCTTGCATTTTTAAAATTTTATGTTTTGTGCATGCCAACCCACAAGAAAAATAAAAAATAATTTTGGAATGATGACAGATTAGAATTGTGTCATTTAAATACAGTACTGTAAAATGATATACAAAGTGAAAAATCTAAGGCCCTTTTGGAAACGATATCTCACCTTCTGACTTCACTTAACATCAGGCTTAACACATTTAAAAAATCCATCTGTGGGCACACTAGAATTCAGTTGGTAACATTTACACACATGTCATCCAGGAAAGGTGACTCCTTCATAAATAAATCCTTATTAATACCTGACACTAATGGCAATGACAGGAAACACTTTAGTTATAAGCATATCAGTGTGATTAAAAAAATAAAAAGAAGGCAATGATAAACACAACATATGGGGCAAAGGACACTCTTGAGAGGAGGTGAGGAGTTGGAATAGATGAAGAGATAGAGGCCAGAGCATGCTATGGGTAATATTCTGGTTCTGGCGTGGGTGGCAAGTTTATGGGAAAATAAGAAGACCATTAACCAATTCATTTCTAAGTACCTGAAGGACAATAATAAATGCATATATAAATAAATTATGCATGTGCATGTATATGTCTATATATAAAGAAAGAGAGAATAGTTTCTCAACTTATAGTTAGTATGATGGGACATCATCATACACAGTGCTTCTTAACCTTTTCTATGAAAGTATTTTCAATATCACATGAGAGTGAACTGCTGAAATCAGAGATCATAGCCTGAAGTACTGAGGGAAACAGTAAAGTCCTAAGTTTTACATTAAAAATTCATGTGGCAAATATTCATAGCAATATTGCTCATAATAACAAAAAGTGATAAACACCCAAATATTCATCAACTGACAAATGGATAAACATAATGTGGTCTATACATACAATGGAATATTATTCAACTCCAAAAATGAGTGATGCATTAATACATGCTTCTACATGGATGACCCTGAAAACATTACACTAGGTAAAAGAAGCCAGACACAAGGCCATATATTGTATGATTCAATTTATTTAAAATATCCAGAAAAGGCCAGTCCACAGAGACAGAAAATAGATTAATGGTTGCCTAGAGTAAGGGGGCTTAGGCAAAGATGAGGAGTGAATGCTAATGACTACTAGGTTTCTTTGAGGGGGAGCAAAAACGTTTTTGATGATTGTGATGATGACTGCACAACCCTGTGAATATACATTAAAAATCAGAATGTTGTATATGTTAAATGACCTAATTCTATAGTTATACCTCTTTAAAGCTGTTAAACATTAAAAAATGCATTCATATGAATTTCTTATTCTGTTGTCTAATATAACTTTGTTTGCTAGAGCTTAAAAATAATGTCTTTTGCCCCGACATTTTTTTCCTAAGGAAAATTATTTTTCAGGATAATACATTATTTTATGAATTTACATGTGTGGTCAGAGGATATCTCCCCATAGGCTCAGGTGAATTTATGTCCCAGTTTGCCTGGGACATTCTTGTTTAATGCTTGTAGTCCTAGAATCATAATAAATATCATCCCCTTTCACTCTCCAAGGTGTCCTGGTTTGTATGATAAGTTGTATGGTCACCTACTACAGTCGCTAATTCCCTTGTTCCCTTCATCCTGGCAGAGGATGTCTTTATGTAACCAGCAAATACTACTTTTGATATAGAATTTAATTTAAACATGCCAAATCAAGAATTTCACTTTTCAAGTGATAATTGATTTGAACAACCTTGCCTCCTGGGGTCTAAAAACACTGAAATACTTCTATGCCATTATGGTGAATATATACATATATTTGTTTACCTTATTGCTTTCTAATTCTTAGACATTTGCTATTAATACCATAGAGTGGTAGATATGGAATATCTTGATTAACTAGAAAGCTGATTATTTAAAATATATTCTTCAAGGTTAGAAAATACTTATTACAGAGAGATGAATATAATAAGAACAAAATCTCAAACACGTATTTCCATGACAGCTTGAAAAAAAATGTAGTGAACCTTTTTTCATATCTATTATATCCATTAGTTTGCTAAGCCAGAAAGAACTTTCAAGCCCTACTGTGCTACTATAGGTTTATTAATAATAAAACTGACATCAGAAAAATGACTGTCTAATAATTGCATATTAATGTGTTTTTACTAAATGGAAATTTAAATATTGAATAATGGCTTGTTATAATAAACATACAAAACCCATAAAGCTAGGATATTATACAATAATATTATATGTAATATTATTTATTCTATTAATAATATATGCAAACAAAATGCAATATTTGGTATTGTAACTAGGTTTTTATTAACTTCTAATTTTTATAATTTTTTTGTAACTTTAAAAAACACTAGTAATATATCAAACTCTAAAGAAACTCTCTTGAGATTCTCTTATTCAATTTTTGGTTTTGCTTATATGACTATACTTTCTATTTTTATTCTAAGATATGCTCCCTGTTAAAAAAATTTTTTTAATCCATTGTGGATTTTTTTAAGTTTCTTAAAATACTTCATCCTCTGTCCATATTTTGTACTAAGTTTACATTTTAACTTGTTTTGCAATAATTAAACAAGTATTCAAATAAAAACAGCATACCAGCATTTAATCTTCAAATTTATTTATAAGATTTGAAAATATTAATATAGTATATTAATTACTTCTCGTCCCTTCACTCCCTAGAAAACTGGAGATAAATAGCAGCACTTTCCCCAATAGTTGTAGAGACAGCCTTCAAAAATAAGGGTCCATTATAAGTGATAAACATAAAAAGTTAAAATCATTAATAGTGATGGGGGGAGAAGATGACTCTTGAAAACCTTTTACCTCAACTATTTTAGCAGTTTATCTGCAACGTCCCAAAGGTAATGATGTAAAGAATTTACTAAAGCTAAGCATAGCCCCTAGGCAGAGTGTCTCAACACAGGAACCTGCCATATAGGTTAATGGACCTGAATCTGCTCCCACAAAGGATAGGGGTTCTCATAATATTATATTTCTATCATAATTTTAAAATATAATGTAAATATCATTAGTACAGAGACACGGTAAACACCTAAATTTAATGAAAAAACAAACCTGGAAGTAGTTTCTCTTTACATCATCTGATTTACTCATTCCCTCTTTCACTGATTCATGTGTTCATTCACAGCCCATTTACTGACCACCTCCCAGGTACCTCCTCACACATGTAAAAATCTCAGGTGAAAATAACACAACTGAGAGTTTCTTCTGTTATATTCCAAAATGCTTACGGAGATAGAGTACACATAAAAAGGAAAGTCAGACAGGATCAGCTATTACGTTTGTCTCCCTCAAAACTCTATCTGACCTCAGGAGCCATCCAAAACGGTGTTCCTACGGATGTGTTCCGACGGTGCCGGGTACTGGTAAGCTGTGCAGACACACCTAGAGGAAGAGACAAGATGTACTTTTTCCATTAATTACTCATATAAAGAGATTTCAATTGCTACAGTCTTTTTTGCAAACTAATATTAAAATTCTATTTCCTCAAAGCTGCCACTGGCCCTAACGTCACGTTAAAGGATCCTAAATCAGGATTTCTGCAGAGCCAAAAAGCAGAATGGTCCTCCTATTTTCTCTTTCTCAACTCCAAATCCTGCTCCTTCCTAAAGCCCCATTTCAAGTCTTAATTCCCCCATGCTGGCTTTTAATCTGCTCCAATTATACTGATCCCTATTTCTTTCTATCTTCTACATTGTAAACAATTTTACATATTTTGGCATGTAATTGTTATTTGAACGGCATGCTTCCTCCCTGCCCTCTTCCTGTCCCTGCCCACTAACAAATTCCAGCAAGTTTGAGAATGTCCTATATGGTGTTATGCACATAGTAGGTCACTTGTGAATCTTCATAAAATTATTTTCCATCTACTAACCCTGGGCAAATCACACCTTATCTGACTGGAAGTTTCAAATTAACTATATCTATTTAAACTAACATCATTAACAGAACGAGTTCTCTTCCTTTAGAGAGATTACAGACTGAAGGGCTACAATAAAGAGGTATAATCAAATATTTCATTCATGTCATTCCATTAATTCCACCTTGTTAGATACCCTCCTCACTGACCTTCAAGAGAATTAGGAGTACAGTTTCTTTTCTCGATTTTCACACTCCTGCTCCTCTGGTTATCTGACTCTACAGAGCTCCTACCCTTCACCTTGCTGTGGACTTGATGGGTTAAACCCAAATCATGGGCTTTCTCTACCTGATTTCCCTGCTTTGGAAAGTGCCTCCCCAAAGTCATATTCATTTTAGGCTTTGGTTGCTTATCTTATAAGCCAAATAGAGGAGAGGTACTAATGAAGATTTAAAATGGAGATATATTTTATTTCTCCAAGATGGCATTTGACTTTTACCATGAAATTCAAAGGCCATATGCAAGCAAATGGGTGTTTCAGTGTTGGAAATATACTCGGGCAGAAGAGTGAGGAGTGTAACATCAGAAACAGGACACATGCCCAACTATGAACAAGTGACAGAGGAAGAAATTTACTAAATTTCATGTTTTTTGACTGCTATGCAATGCCTGTTAAACTTCAAGATCACTTAACTAACACAATCAACTAGCTTCATAGCTAGAAGATAACTTAATGGTCATAAATTCTAACTTGCTCATTTTCAGGTTAGTAAACTTAAGCTGGAAAGAAAAGTCACTCTCCTGAGGACAAATGACATTTTTACTTAGTGTAAATTCCCACAAGAAAAATAGCTAAGACAGAAAAATGCAAAATTCTATTAAAATGATTGACATAAATTACATTTAAAGGCAACAGGGATCCAAAGTATAGGTTAAGGAGCCCAAGGAAGTAAAGAAGATTAGGGAAATCATCTTGTCTAGAGAGTAACTAAAGGAATAAGTCACCAAGATAAACAGTTACATAATCAACTCAAGAGAGAAGCTGCTGATGTGTGGAAAATTCCAGGCAGAGTGCTGGGATAATGAGAAGATACAGAAAGGAAAAAGAGGTCAAAAAGGACAAAGGCTGAACAGAAAACAGGCTAATAGAAAGAGCAATAATCTATTAAAAGTCAAAGCCACAGGAACATTATAGAGGTTAGGGTTTATGTTAATGCTTCTTCAGTCTTTTGCTTTGCTAGGGAATTTTCAGGCTATTTTAGTTCTGTCCAACAAGGCTTCCTGGGCTATTCCATGGCTATACAGCAACTCCATTCTCTATTGCATAAATGCTATTTCTAGGGAGAGAAACATGCAGGCTTTATTCTTGTAGTTAAGAAAACTCTTAGGGTCTTAGAAAGACAGCAGAAACATCAAATATGTGTTTTCCATCGTGGCTCAAACAGACCAGACAACTTCTGGGAATTCAATTTGCTATAACCTTTGACATCTCAATAGAGCAGGGAGAAAAGCATATGTTTTTGTCATTGTTAATAACAAAATACTGTAGGAATGAGAACTGAAACTATAAAAATACAGAATTTTGTTAACATAAAGGGGTCATAAATTGTATTATACCATCTAATATTATTATTTTGTTGATGAGGTTAAGACACTATGATAGTTAATTTTATGTGTCAACTTGGGAGGGCCATGGCTATTTTAGGTCATCCAACAATGCTTCCTAGACTGTTCCATGGCTGTACGGCAACCCCATTTCCTATTGCATAAGTCAAATGGTATTTGGTAAGACTATATTCTGGATATTTCTGTGAAGGTGTTTTTGAAATCAGATTAATATTTTGAAATCAGATTAATATTTAAATTGGTGGATTTTTTAAAGTTAAACAAGGCTTTTATATTGATGTGTAGTAACAAGCAAAAGTTTTGCGCTCCCATTTCTGAAAGTTATATGAAGTTTAAAACCCAGTTCTACAGTTGGCATTTTTAAAAGGCCTAAGACTTCCACATTGGTTAGACAACTCTCGGTTTAAAATAGCTTTTATTTTTTATTTTCTTTTTATTTCAATAACTTTTGATGTACAAGTGTTTATTTGATACATGAATGAATTATATAGTGGTAAATTCTGAGATTTCAGTGCACCCATTACCCAAGTAGTGTACGTTGTACCTAAGGTGCAGTTTTCTTATCCCTAGCCCCGCTCCTGCTCACTCTCTTCTGAGTCTCTAAAGTCTATTATATCACTCTGTATGCTTTTGCATACTCATAGCTTAGCTCCCACTTATAAGTGAGAATATTTGGTTTTTGGTTCTCCACTCCTGTGGTACTTCACTTAGCATAATGGCCTCCAGCTCCATCCAAGTTGTTGCAAAAGACGTTATTTTATTCCTTTTAATGGCTGAGTAGTATTCCATGGTGTATACATGGAACATTTTCTTTATACATTCATTAGCTGATGGGCATTTAGGTTGGTACCACATCTTTGAAATTGTGAATTATGCTGCTATAAACAAACAAGTACAAGTGTCTTTTTCATATAATGACTTCTTCTCCTTTGGGTAGATATCCAGTAGTGGGATTGCTGGATCAAATGGTAGATCTACTTTTATTAATAGCTCTTTAAGGAATCTCCATACTATTTTTCATAGAAGTTGTACTAATTTACACTTTCACCAGCAGTGTATAAGTATTCCCTTTTCCCCATATCCCTGCCAACATCTATTGTATTCAGACTTTTTAGTAATGGCCATTCTTGCAGGATTATGGTGGTATATCTCATTGTGGTTTTAATTTGCATTTCCCTGATGATTAATGATGTTGAACAGTTTTTCATATGTTTGTTGGTCTTCATATATTTTCTTTTGAGAAATGTCTATTCATGTCCTTTGCCCACTTTTTAATGGACTTATTTTATTTTTCTTGGTGATTTGAGCTCCTCGTAGATTCAGGATATTAATCCTTTGTTGGATGCATAGATTGCAAATATTGTCTCCCATTCTTTGGTTTGTCTGTTTATTCTGCTGATTATTTATTCTGCTGATTATTTATTCTGCTGTGCAGAAGAATTTTAGTTAATTAGATCCCATTTATTTATTTTTGTTGTTGTTGCATTTGCTTTTGGGGTCTTAGTCATGAATTCTTTGCCTAGGCCAATGTCTAGAAAAGTTTTTCCAATGTTGTCTCCTAGAATTTTTAATAGGTTCAGGTGTTATATTTAAGTCTTTGATCCATCATGAGTTGCTTTTTGTATAAGGTGAGAGATAGAGTTCTGGTTTTATTCTTCTACATGTGGCTCGCCAGTTTTGCCAGCATCATTTATTAAATAGGGTATCTATTTCCCAATTTATGTTTTTGTATGCTTTGTCAAAGATCAGTTGGCTGTATGTATTTGGCTTTGTTTCTGAGTTCTCTATTCTGTTCCATTGGTCTATGTGCATACTTTCATATCTGTACCATGCTGTTTTGGTAATTACAGCCTTGTAGTATAATTTGAAGCCCAGTAATGTGATGCATCCTGATTTGTTTTTTTGTTTTTGTTCAGTTTTTTTGGTATTGTTTTGTTTTTTGCTTAGGATTGCTTTGGCTATTTGGGCTCTTTTGGGTTCCATATTAATTTTAGAATCATTTTTTCTAATTCTGTGAAAAATAATATTGATATTTTGATGGGAATAGCACTGAATCTGTAGATTGTTTCAGGCAGTATGGTCCTTCTGACAATATTGATTCTTCCAATCCATGAGCATGAGATGCATTTCCATTTGTTTGTGTCACCTATGATTTCTTTTGGCAGTGTTTTGTAGTTCTCCTTGTAGAGATCTTTCACCTGTTTAGTTAAGTATATTCCTGAGTATTTTTATTTTGTTTGCAGCTATTGTAAACGGACTGAGTCCTCAATTTGATTCTCAGCTTGGTCATTTTGGTGTAGCAGGGCTACTGATTTGTGTACATTGACTTTGTAACCTAAGACGACTGAATTAATTTATCAAATCTAAGTTTTTTGGAGGAGTCTTTAGGATTTTCTAGGTATACAATCATATTATCTACAAACAGCCAAGTTGGACTTCCTCTTTTCCCATTTGGATGCCCTTTATTTCTTTCTCTTGCTTAATTGCTCTGCACTTCCAGAACTATGTTGAATAGGGATAGTGAAAGTGGGCATACTTGTCTTGTTCCTGTTCAGGGGGAAAGGTTTCAACTTTTCCCCATTCAGTATGATGGTGGCTGTGTGTTTGTCATAGATGGCTTTTACTATTTTGAGATAGGTGCCTTACATGCCTAGTTTGTTGAGAGTTTTTATCATAAAGGGATGATCGATTTTGTTAAATACTTTTTCTGCATCTATTGAGATGATCATATGGTTCTGGGTTTTAATTCTGTTTATGTGATTCATTACAGTTATTGACTTGTATATGTTAAACTATCCCTGCATCCCTGGGATGAAAACCACTTGCTTATGATGAATTACCTTCTTGATATGCTGTTGGATTCAGTTAGCTAGTATTTGGTTGAGGATTTTTGCATCAA